GACACAGAGTCCAACCGACCATTTCGAAACATTCACGACGGGTTCACAGGCAATTCTATTGATACTAGGACCTGTCGAAATATATCTTGAAGGCGTGGCAGAAAACACTTGCCGTTGAAAACACAGTGCTTCTAATCTAATGACCTTCATCAGGTAGCTTTAAACACAAGTTATAAACGGAACCGGTACCGGTTACCGGCCGGTCCGTTACCGCTCTAGATTTTCGATCGGTTGGTAAACCAGTCGACCGGTCCGACGGATCTAGACCGATAAAAACCAGTCCGATCAATCCGACCAGTCTAGACCGGTCCATACTGGTCTGACCGGTCTAAATCGATCTGAACCGGTTCAAACGATCTATATTTTTCACTGTTCTCATGTATGAATGTATTCATGTAAAAACAAACGACTCGCACCAAGGCCAATCTTACGGATCGCATAGCTATCAGTTTAACAATCGTTATCTAGAATACTCTCAATGACGCAATTGTTGTCAATGGTGAAATATTATATCCCTATGCGTGGTGGTATAGATCAAACCCACGGGAGAGAATTTATTACTGAACAATGTTTCATTTTAAGTCTCGACCTGTTGTCGTTACCCCTGTATTTTGTCGGTAGGTCAGATTTTCCTGATAAACTCATGTATCGTAATTTTTCTTCTAGTACCGGTTCGATCGGTTTTTGTCGGTATTCCGGCCGGTCCGGTCGGCTCTGAGAAGTTCAGACCGATACCGGTACCGATCTGAAAAAAGTAGACCGGTTCCATCTATGCCGCAAGTGACCCGTTTCAAAACGTCGCTAAGCCTTTACATGAACCATACGATGGCATAGAACTGAGAGTTGGTGTATTTTTCAGTCGACTTGAGTCTGTATGAGGATTACGTTGGTGAGTGATGCTGCGGAGCGTGGGTGGGTGCGAATGTGGAGTTAGCGTGGGAGTGCGTGCGTATGCATATGTTGTTATGGATGAGTGTGAGTGAAGATGTAGGTATCAAGGAATCCATGTGTTGGGGAGGGGAGGAGGTGCGGCGGACGTGGATGGAGTGTGACTGTGTGTCTGGGTCAGAGTGTCCATGGATGTGTGAGTGTTGGTCTCTAGAGAAACGTCACCCACACCAAAACTGGAGCCCAACAATTGAATAACAGGCAACCATCACAGTAACACCCATACACACATCTCACCCCCAATTTCACACCCACATCCAGACGCCCACACCCACCCGACTGAACTATCGAGAAATAGTAGCTTTCCAATGCCTTATAAAATAAACCCCAACTTTGAATTTTATCATGAGATGGAAGTGATTATCATTTTTTTAAATCATTTTCTTTTATTTTCTGGTACATTGAAAATTCAATCAGTATAATTAACGTGCTATACGATTGATGATCAGTGTTTAAAGAGAAACCCTGTTTCGGATGTGAGAATTCCAAGACCTTTAATTTTCCGCTTTTCTTCGGTAATATAGCCCCGAGAGGTCCTCCGCCAAATGCCATATAAATGAGGTGTCTTCATTGTTGGTCAGTGCGTTTATGAAATCTAGACTTCAAAAGATGGGGACGCATAAGAAGCCAAATCGGCCCATCCGGACGATTCTTGACCGATCTCATCGAATCATAAATCAATTGAAAGAATATGTTGAAACTAACACTTTGACACTATGTTAATCCGGTTTTGATCGAGTTTTCGAAGCAAAACGGCTATTAATAAAGTAAATCATTTTTCGTCCTTCATCGAATAATCGTGCCCATCATGGTCATCTCAGTTTTCCAGTAAGTTGATAAGAAAAAGTAGTTGTAAAGTTAATTATTTGATAGCTTTTCGATAGCCCTTCAATCCTATACATGTATCAATAATTGATTATTTGATTCACTGATGAGGAGAGACTGATATACTATTAGGCACTATTCATATAGATCCTATATCTATCATCAGCTTTTATCTTTCAGTCAGGATAAAATCTTATTACCAATTTCTCATTTCGCCAATTGTAGTTTTCGCCAATTGGCGAATATCAACTAGTAATTTGCCAATTGACGAACTTCCTCACGATATTCGCCAACTGGCGAACACAGTAATACGAAAATATTTTATTTATTGGCGAATGTCACACTTGTAATTTCGCCAATATGAATGAGTTGAATTGTAACTCAAGTATAATACTTGATATTTTTACTACACAAACTGAATTAGTTCAGGTGTAATAGTATATCAATAAAAAGTAAATAAGTTGTTTTTGTGTTCTACTTAGTCGATATGTGCTTTGCGTTGTTTCGGACGCCTAGCATTGAACCAGAACACAACGCCCTCTGTGGGTATGAGTGTTGATCTTCTCATCATATCCACACTCACCCACACCCTGAAGATCGGGACGATTGAACAAGATCATTAATTATAAAAACATGAACTTATTCAATCTTTTTTTCATATAGCTACTACAGTTCTTTCTTTATTTGACATAAAAATGATTTCACATAATTAAACTTAATTCGTACCTTTAATGATTACAATTGGCGAATGTCACACTAGCGATTCGCCAATCTGGCGAATTTCGTGAGGAAGTTCGCCAATTATGGAACACGGTAGTATGAAAATATTTTATTTATTGGCGAATCTCACACTAGTAATTCGCCAATGGCAAATATACAATTGGCTATTACAAAGACTCCTTTCAGTCAATATTATTTTGCAAAAATTGAAAAGACTCAAACTCCAGTATTGCTCATTGGACAGCTCTTTTCAAAAGCTACAAAATGGTACATATTCTAAAATATGAAAAATATCGCCACAGAGAAAATTCCTAGTTGCATGGTGCTCCGGCTATGCTGTTTTCATGTTTTTCAGGAAATTCGACTATTAGTGAGCCTATTGTACTCCATACAGCCTTCGTATAAGTCAAAACTAATACCAAATTCATAATCAGCAACAAAAACCGAGCCCATCAATTGATGTTTCACATATCGCCAAGGAGTTTTTGTTTTTCTCGAACAGTTCACAACTCCTTGCCGTCAAGGTACCCTCAAAATATGAAGGATGTGGTGTGGGTATGGGATGTAGGAGTGCATGTGGATGTGGGTGGAGTGTTGGTTTCAGTGTGTGACTGTGTGCGTGTCTTCAAGTGATCAAAGCCCAAGCTCACACCCACATTCGATTCCACACCCACACCCACACACCTACACAACACCCACACCCACACCCACACCCACATCCACACACTCCCACCCCACAGTCACAGTCGCAGCTATTCGAAGAAAGACGTAGGAACACTTTTAGCCATAAAAGATGTTTGGTTGTGAAAAGTGTGCCTGCTTGAGATGAAAGTCTATGGAAGCACTTTCCTCATATTTTATGTGTTTATTGTCAACAAGCCATAAACTGTCATTGCGGCTATGAGAATTTTTTCTTACGCACATAAGTGGAAGAATTATAATGCGTAGATAGCAAAGACAAAGTAAAGTCGTAAAAGTAATTATAACGATATCATTTTCCATTACTTGTACATCAAGCAAGCTGGGGTGGGGTGTGGGTGTG